CAATTTGGGATAACCTCTTTACACCTATTCCACCTGTTAGTTCCAATTGTAACATGGTGATTTTGTGGTCAAACGCCTTGAATGAAAAAGATGCTCGAGAAATGCATAATGGCACGTGGAGACCAAATCATTTTGTTCCACTTATGTTGCCATCTATTCGTAATGAATTTAATAACGCCAGTCAGTCAGCGTCACTTGTCGTGGTAAGTTAGCTATCTGTAAACAGACAACCAAGAATCTTGAAACTTTTTTAGACTCCTGAAAAGAAAACGTTTAAGAACAATACTGTTACTCAAATAAGGGTTCCTGAATTTCAATCTTCTGCTAGTAGACGCTTACGAAGTGGGGACAACGTCGGAAATGACTCTGTTCAATCAAATATTTCAGGTTCAATACAAAAGGAAAAGAATAATAAAGAAGAAAGACGTCAGATTCAACTTCAAAAAAAAAGAGAACGGAGTCGATCCAGCCGAATGAATGAAACAGAAGAGCAACGGCAAATCCGTCTTCAGAAGGATAGAGAACGAAGTCACTCCAGTCGAATAAAAAAAACAGAAGAACAGCGCCAAAATCGTCTTCAGAAGGATAGAGAACGAACCCAATCAAATCGAAAAAATGAATCACAAGAGCAACGTCAAATTCGACTCGAACAGCAAAAGAAACGAAGTCAGGTGAATAGAACTAAAAAGAAATTCGACAAACAGAAGAACGAAAACACTGGTACTGGACAAGATTCTATTCGTTCACCTTGGCCTGAACCAATTCCTCGTGATTTAAAAGACACTCGTTTGCAACAATTTTTAGAACAGATGTCCATGTCAAAATTGGCTGCAATTACTTGTGCAGTTTGTAATATTCGTACTCCAGAAAAAGATTCGAAAAAAATACCAATTTCAAAAATTCCTAATATTCATTTACTTAAAGTTTCTGAAGAAGTTAAAACTTTAATTAAAAATTCAGGTGAAAATACTGCCATCTTCACGGATGATAATAACATACAGACAACATCACATATTAAAAGTATATATAATTAAGTTAATTTAAAAATTTATACAGAATTGCTCATTTTAGATTATTCGAATTTTCGTTCGTCATCTTTCTACTGTGAAAATAATATTATCTTGTACAAAAGCGGCTTATTTCAAACAAATCGAGTGCAGATGTGTGTTCTTTGTCAAAAATGCCATACTTCTCTTTCTAAAGAACATATACCAAAGTTTTCAGCTGCTAATAATATGTGGTTAGGTGATATACCTACTGAATTACAGGGACTAACAATTCCAGAAGAAAAATTAATCTCACTTTATCGTCACAATAGCTGTGTAATAAAACTTCAGTCACCTTTTCATTCAGCTACAACTGTTCAGACAGCATTGAAAGGAAATTGTATTACTTTTCTTCAAAATGTACCAAATATTGTCAATAGTTTGCCACTTACACTTGCCGATCTATGTGATACACTTAAAGTAATTTTTATTGGAGCTCGACCACCTGATCGTCTTCATCTTAAATAAATGCGGAAACTTCGGATTTAAATCCGAGAGTTATGTGTACTTCAAAAAGTGAATGAGACAGATGAGTCGTTCTAGAATATGGGGATATAAAAATTATTCTGGCAAACCTTATCTATAAACACTTGATTTCTATTGGCTACTGCTCAACCAATAGGATTTGGAGGCAGATACAGCTCAGATTTGAACTCTTCACCTTCATTTACCCTAAGAAAGTCGTTTTTCCTATAGCTTGATTTCTATTGGTTACTGTTCAACCAATGGGATTTCGAGGCGAATAGAGCACAGATTCGAGTTCTCCACCCCAGAAAACCTCGAACTATCATCCCTGTGATCGAAAGATAGAGCTCTATTTGTGGATCAATTAGAGCGTGACAAAAACAGAACCGAATTCCGATTAATTATCTTTGCAATAGCTGAGTTGGCTTTCTTGTTTCCTTATGTTTTATATACCACTCTGTAGCTCGTGAAATTCTCTATCGAATGGTATATAATAGTTGGGGTTTTAGTTGACTATGATAGGAAAAGTCTTTTACGAAAGTGGGGATGGGTCGATCTTTCCATAGGGAAGGTGCAGGGAAAAATGAGTATTTTTGCAATAACTCAGGAAGGGCTCGGCCAATTCTTCTCATCTTCGAACTCGACCGAGACATTGTTAAGACTGAACTGTGTAGAAAATTTCATCGCGATTGGACTCTCCTTTCAAAAGTTATCGTGTTAACGGCCGGACGGACATACTGACCGATTCTAGAGTGTACTCACTTTTTGAGTACACAAAAAAGTTTTGACAGTACGCAAGAAGAAAATTATTCAAGCATTACAATGGTTGAAAAAATATAATATACTTTATCAAAACGTCAATATAAATCTTGAAAATATTGCTCAATTACCAGAAGATGATGTACCAGAATGCATCATGTCAACCTTAGAACAAAAGATAGGCGATGAAGAAGCTCAATCCGAAAGAACTGGATATGTTCCTGATCCATTATTGAATCCAAAAGAATGCACTACTGCAGATGTCGTACCTATCAGTAACAGGTAAGAGTACTTAATAAATAAATAAATTCATATAGCTTCTCTATTTTAGTGGTGTTCTCGATGTCAATGGCTCATCGATATCTTCGGATGAGATTGCTAATTACTTTTTGCACAAACTAAAAAATAATGAAAATAAGGATCAAACAGTTACTGAAAACGTCTACTTAATTCCACATTCGTCGAAACCTGTTAATGAATATTTCAATCCAAAATTGTTAACAGGTTTA